TTTTTTCCACAGAAGCTATCACTCCATGAGTGAGTGAGTTGGGTTTAACGCCGCTTTTAACAGTATTCCAGTTATATCGCGGCGTGTCAGGTGAATGTGGGTGGAAAACACCAAGGGATGCAGGTCTCAGACGTTTACCACTTAGGTGAAACCCACGAGCACGGGTATGGTGCTGACAAACCTAGAAACATAATCGGGACGAACCAGGATTCGAAACCACAATCATAGGTTTCTGGCGTGCCAAAGGGACGCAGCTATGCACAGTGAATCGCGGCGCCTCAGACGACTGGGCCACCCGTGCCCCCTCATTCCATGATGTGTTCCTAGGGGGAAACTATTACTATAACGTAGCGTCCTTTTCCTTTCTCTGTCGAATCGCAAGCTGAGGGTTGTCGCCAATGTATCGCCGTTAGAATGGAACATTGAATAAACGCACTTTTATCTTGAGTATGTTCTACTTTCTTGAGTATGTGTTGTATTACGACATCCATGCCGTTGCCGTCTCTGAAGGAAGTAGACATCAGTTGATTTATCTTGATACGTGACCTACAGTCACTGTTTCGTAACACGTCGTTAGCTTCGTCATTTATCGATGTGACATTACATACTTGACTTATTTGATTATTGACGGGTTATCACATGGAAACACACTATAATTGGAATATATGCAGTGACAAGGGATGTCTATTTTCGCCAAGCCATACCCAAATTGAATTTGCGAGAGCAATATTCTTTGTGATGTGACCATGCAGTATTTATAGAAGCCAGACAGATCCGTAGCTCACCTTCTGTTAAATCAGTCTACAATCATTTAGTTTAGTCTGTGGTATGGAATAAGCGATAAAGTGTTAAACTTCTCATCCTGGTTCTCTATCTGTTACTCATCGAAAAATATTCCAAAAGGTTAATACACATCAGGGGTCCCTTTTCACCGTTCAGAAATGATAATAACTCGAAAACTATCCACAAACGTACAAATTGAATATTAAAATGAATACACGTTTTGATACTTTTTACAACTTTTGTGTTAGATTAGGCAAATGGAGTGACAAACTGGATCACGGAATTAACATGATATCAAATCAGTGTAATTTCCAGTGATGACCTACCGTCAAAACAAGAGACGCTAAACGATCATGGTTGAGTTCCCAACCAATTACGATATGAGATTCACCATATATAAGCAGCAGAGTGACATCAATAGGTGTGTCTTAACGTCGACTGGAACTCAGATCGAGGAAACGATATAAATTTACATTATTGATCTAAAAAAGATTTTTTTTAAATTTGAAGCAATGACGAATACCAGAACTTGTAGCTAGTATTTGACACAGAACTGACAACTAATATTGATATATCACACATTGACACCGCTGGTAGCAAAAAAATAACGTCGTATTATCATTAACTGATGGACGTTATTGCATGATCACGTGATATTTACAAATGTTTTTACCGGTTAACCTATCAATCACAATCAAGATTACTGCCTTGGGGAAAAGGGCGTCGAGGTGTAGTTTCTAGACGCTTTCCAATTTTGTTGAACCAACGAGCAGTGTATAGTGCTAAGGAACCAGATAACACAGTCAGGCAGAATCTGGGGTTCCGTTCCTGGGTTGAGAATCATATTGTACAATTTCGAATGTATAAGGAGCTCAGATAGTGTACACAAAGAAATGAAGTCTCATCTTGTTTTGTTCAGATATGTTCATTCCAGAAAAACACACTCTTGCAGTGAACTGTGATGACTGTTCCAATCAAAGTGGAGTCTTGTCAAGTGTCTACCACACATGGTAATGATGTTACATAACGTGATAAAGATTATCAGTATTGATCACGATGTACTTCAGTACTATTTGTCACTGTAATTCGAAAAATGCTGTGGAAAAAACAAGATTTACGTATGGTTACCCTTGATTTAGCAACATAATTGGTTGGTTGGTTGGTTTGTTGTTTAACGCCGCACTCAGCAATATTCCAGCTATATGACGGCGGTCTGTAAATAATCGAGTCTGGACCAGACAATCCAGTGATTAATATCATGAGCATTGATCCACGCAATTAGGATCGATGACATGCATCAACCAAGTCATCGAGCCTGACCACTCGATCCCGTTAGTCTCCTTTTACGACAAGCATAGTCACCTTTTAGCATGGGTTACTGAAGACCTATTCTATCCCGGAATCTTCACGGGTCTTTGCAACATGAATACGGCTATCGTTATAACATGACAATATTTACATAATGCCGAGCTTTCCTTTCGTGCGAGAAAACAAAGTATGTCCACAATAACACAACGTTTATCAATGTCAACAATAATCTTCAAGCAAAATCAGTCACGGTGACCTAAATGAGTACAACATTCTAATCGAAAATGTAGCACGAAATTGTAGATTACATACGCGCATGTTCAGTTTAGATGGGTCAGTGAGTGACTTTGTTTTAACTCGGCTTTGCACTGTATAATTAGTATGTCACGAAAACTCCAAGTGACACAGGTCTATGATGTTTACTACTTTGGTGAAAACTCACGAACACGGGAATGGTGCTGACAAACCTAGAAACATAATCAGGTCGAACTGGGATTCGAATCCACGCATTTGGACAACTCTTTATATTCGGTTATATAACATATATCCTGTCATTGAAGAACACTATGATAACTGGTTAGACTAGTTGGAAAAAATATATGACTATTAGACGACGATACAATATAGAAATGGGTCTACTGAACGCCAGCAACTAAAGTGAGGTCACCACGCTATGGTGACTTACGGTACCTCTGCTACCCTCACAGTTCCGCAACAATATTTACACCTTTCCTTTGATGACTGGCTATTGGCCAGAGATTAAAACAAATAAATATTCTGCGATTAAAATGGAGGTTGATATAATCCTACATTGACAGCCACTAAGAATCTCAGCTGTTGCTATTTCTTCTTATTTATTTATTCTCAGTTAATGAAACAATCCCATTTTTTAAAACACAAGATTAAATGAGAGAAAGGGGTCTTTGAACAAAGGCACTTAGAAGTTCGTTTCCCTTTGAGATGAAAAAATCAACACAATGAAGAAGAACATTATTGGCTGTGATTCTCTCATCACAAGGGATAGACAAAAATATTGTATATATATCTACACGACGTTGTGATACGACCTCTTTAAATCTTGACTGACAATACAAGTAGGTTGATTCTTTTGAAAACCTCTAAATATTTCTGTTTCAAAAAAGGTAAATTCTACTGAACTTATTGACTTTAGAGACTTTGCTTTACCATCCACAGCTAGGAAGGTTATTCAATTATCTTTTGCGCGACATAAGTGACTCCATGAGCTTTGCATAGAGAGCCAGGCAGTTGGTTGACGACACTACAGCGTTTTCTACAGCTTATGTTGACTTTTTTATTGACTTTACACTTGGTTTCCTAGTTGACAGTTTATCTATTTTATATGAAAAAAGTGTTTCAAAGTTATCACTGAAACTCTTAGCTGACGTGATTGAAAAGGGTGTGTCAGATATCAGAATTCTATGGCCAGGACTCAAATGCACTACATTTCTGATACATTTTGAAGTGAGAAAATAAACGTAATAAATATTATATTTGGGATAACACTTTCTAAGTAAAGTACAGATTCTCGTACTTTTTTGGGTTGAGTCCCGTCCGGGTTATCCCAAATATAACATTTGTTCCATTTGACCACTTTCTAAATGGCATTGTGTATTCGGGGAAAATAAACACTGAATATGACATAAAATAACTTCAGAATCAAATTTTTATGGTTAACCATTATGGTCAAAGAAGTTGATTGATTTGAAATGTCATACATGAGGGATAACCTCATTTTCTCAAATATCCCTGACAGTGAGCCATCTTGGTGAATTTGAGAACTGCTATGTTGCCTGATTCAGAGATGTTGAAGGTTACTTCAAGAAACATTATTGATTTGCCAACTTCTTATTTCAAGTGGGGGGCAATGGTGGCCCAGTCGTCTGAGGCGCCGCGATTCGCTGTGCAGAGCTGTGTCCCTTGGGCACGCCAGAAACCTATGATTGTGGGTTCGTAGGTTTGTCAGCACCATACCCGTGCTCGTGGGTTTCACCGAAGTGGTAAACGTCTGAGACCTGCATCACTTGGGGCTTTCCTCCCACATTAAGCTGACACGCCGCGATATAACTGGAATACTGTTAAAAGCGGCGTTAAACCAAAGTCACTCACTCACTCACTTATTTCAAGTGGAAAGATTAACTTGAACTCGAATTGTTGTGCGACTTGAGACCTAAACTAATTAATACTGCACATGAAATTCATCTCTGCAGTGTTCGGACAAAACAGTTTTTTCATGCAAGATTCTGTTAGCCCATATGGATGTCAATATCAATGAGATTAAAAAAGATGAAAGCTACTTTAGCGCGTTTTTGTATTAGGAAGCAGCGGGATGAAAAGGCATGTGGGTGTCAGTGAGTTGTTTAAACTGTAGATGCATGTATTGTTGTAGTTGACACGGAAAGTTGGAGCAGCGTATTTAGCTTAACAATGAGTGTGGGATGCATATGTCTGGACGACTCAGTGTTACTTAAGTAGCTTGACAAGATGTGGCAGGTAAGTGAACTTTCTGATTAAACTATTGACACTAAGTGACAGTGTGTGATTAAGTAAACAGGATGTGAGGAATTATTTATTTACTCACATTGGCAGGTTTGACAATGTGTGGAAGAAATGAAAAAAAATGTCGTCGTAGATTAACATGTTTTGTTTGTTTTGGTCTGGAAAAAAATGTGAGTGTGTCACTTGCACATGGTGCAGATTTACAGTATTGAATCAACCATTGGGAGATGATAGTGTAAAGGTTGCGAGGTTCAAAGGATGCCATTGATATTGTTTGTCCTGTTGGGACAGATTTCTTGTTGACAATGATTGATTAATTCATCTTATCCATTTGCGGTGTTGATTTTAAAACTCAAAGCAACAAAACCGATTACAAAAGACTATTATGATACAAAAACATTTTACAATAAAATTAAAACCACAGTTCAAATGGGAATGAAACAAACTCTGTAGATGCATGGTTACAATCATATATAAACAACTCCCAGCAATAGTTTTAAAGGCTAAAAAATTAATCAGAATGAAACAAAACAAAAAACAGTTGCAGTTGAGACAATTGTGAGTTGACAAAAATGTGTTAATCATATTTCAACCTAAATCTAATAAATTCTGTTCAAACATTTGCTCAAAGGCGCTCAGTCAAAGGCTTTGCAGCAGAAAGCTGTTTTGAGACGTTTCATGAACGTGCGAAAGACAGTTATACTTGAATGTGAGTCTCGAGTCCATTCGAGTGTAGTGGTCCAGCTTTTGGTCCAGATTGGAGTTTGGTCATAATTATTTGTCCCACTCTTGAGTTTTGCAGCTGAACTTTGTGCTCTATGAAACTTGTTGGTGGTTTGCTGAGGTGCTCAATACATAAAGGAATGACAGGGGTCCCGACATGAGATCAAGCATGCCTGGACTTTTATCTTGACTGTCTGTGTCATGTTCAGTTCGACCGATGTTCCTCAGATTTAAGGAGGCCGTTTAGAAGTAGAGCGTCCGCCCGGAGAGCGGAAGGTCAGGGGTTCGATCCCCGGCCGTGTCATACCAGAAGACGTTAAAAGATGGTACTTGTTGTTAACCTGTCTGGAGCTCGACATTAAGAGGCTAAAACAAGGAATGGTCGGCTCGGAGTCGGTATACTGTGAGTCTTTTAAACTGTAGATGCATGTATGACTGTAGCTGACGAGGAAAGTTGGAGCAGCGTTTTTAGCTAAACAATAAGCGTGGGTCGCATATGTCTGGACTGCACAGGAACATGATTTGGTTGGAGATTTTATAGTGAGGGGAGAAGCCTTTGTTTCTTCCCAAACAGCAAACTGTTTCTGCACTGCAGATCTCTGTCTGTGTTGTAGCCTCTCCTTTATACCTGTTTTGAAATGTGATGCTTTAGTTTTATCGATAAGTTTGTTAACATATCACGTGATACTGAAAGCAGCTGTCTATGGATTGTCAAGTTAGTTCTCATCATTGTCTCTCTAACTGACGGGGGGCGGTCGGATAGCCTAGTGGTTAAAGCGTTCGCTCGTCACGCCGAAGACCCGGGTTCGATTCCCGACATGGGTACAATGTGTAAAGCCCATTTCTGGAGTCCCCTGCCGTGATGTTGCTGGAATATTGCTAAAAGCGGCGTAAAACCATACTCACTCACTCACTCACTCTAACTGACGGCGCTGATGTTTCTCCTTTCTTATCTCATCTGACAACGAGGCTGTCGGACACCTCACGTTCATTGGTGGAGCATGCTTGTCTAGAATCCCACCAAACTGCTTGTTGTAAATACTGACAGATTCTAAAAGATCGCCCGAAACAACATCGATAGTGCACATCCTGTGGGAACAAGATGAAATCCGTCTACTTCCTACTTCTGACATCTTATTTCAGGTTTATCTCATAGTTAGGTTATATTTACTGTAACCACTGCACACACATGACCAAACAGTGCCAAGTTATCATGTATAATGTTCAAGAAGTGCAACCAATCCGATCTTGTGATAAGTAAATCCGATCTTGTGTCCATTACTTTATGTTGGAAACAGAATGTGCTGAACAAGATTCTTTGATACCAACAGTGACCTTAACAGTTGTCATTAATATTATGACCGTGGATATTGAAATCTTCACAAATGATAACTTTTCCATTTGAGTTCTTTAATTCATCTGTCAAATCTGACAAGTCCTGTTGCAGGTGGTCTTTACCCAACCTGAGTAAGCAACTTTTGATTGCACACATTCAAATTCAGCGTACGTAACTTGAAAGAAACTGCAGGTTTCAAACCAGTAGCACTTTTGCAGTCGATAGTTTGAAAAAGTACAACACAATATACACCTCCACGTTTTAACTTTCCTTGGAGCGTGAATTAGTAGCCAGCTAGGACAAGTTTGTGTTTTGCGATATTGTGATCGCATGGACATCAACATTATTATTATCTGTCAAATCACACATTGCTGGAGCGTTATCATTTGTTAAACTTGCAGATCTTGCGTTCAGAAAACCAAATCTAAAAATGAGATGCTGTTCACTTTCTTCACCAACAGAGAAAACTGGAGTTTCATATATATATAGCTTCCCCTTGATCACTGTTCAGCATGCATATCGCTACATCTCCCATTACTTCTCAACATTATTTTCACTGGGTAAACAATACATTGCTTAGGATGCCATATGATGTAAGAATATGAAACACGGACATATGTTGTCCTGCAGCTGCCATCATCGCTGGTGTTAAACTTTGATTATTGATGGCCTTAATCTCACAAAGTTGGTGAAAGAGCAAATAATTGACCATTTCCACGCGGCCTCTAAGGCAGGCCACATGAAGGCAGCTGTTGCCGAAATGATCGTTGATGGAAATATCAGACTGTCTTTTGAAAAGCAGGTCAAACACTCGCCAGTGTCCAAACTCGGCTGCAATCATCGCAGGCGTCCTCCCATACATTCCCTTCCCGTTGATGTCAACAGTGCCAAGTGAAAGGATAGAGCTTACAATCCCCACGTCTCCTCCAACACAGGCTATGTGAAGAATGGTACTATTGCCATCAACCTCTGGTTTCATGTCGATGCCTTTACTCAAAAGGACTTCAAATACTTTTCTGTGTCCCTTTTCGGCTGCAATCATCACGGGTGTCCTCCCAGTCTTCTCTCTTTTGTTAACATCCACGATGTCCTGTAACAAGACATACTCCACTATCTCCTCATCTCCCCCAGTGCAGGCTGCATGGAGGATACTTGCACCACCAGCATCAAGCGTCAAATCACATCCTTTTTCCACTAGTAAAGAAAACACTCCTCTGTGTCCTTTCCCAGCAGCCATCATTACCGGTGTCCATGAATCCTGTCCAGGACCATCGATGTCGACATTGCCCATCGATAGGAAGTGTTGGACCACTTCAACATCTCCTACTGTACAAGCCCAGTGGAACGCGGTGTTACCACGATCGTCCATTAGCGATGTATCAGCTCCTTCTAGCAAAAGCAGGATGAGCAGTTCTCTACACCCTGACACTGCTGCCATCATCGCTGGTGTCATACCGCACTTTCCTCTGCTGTCGATGTCAATGATGTTCCATGAGAGGACACACTTCGCCATCTCAACATCACTTTCACTGCAGACCAGATGAAGGATGTTGTTTTTGTCATCATCTAGTAATGAGACGTTGCATCCTTTCTTTACAAGGACGTCCAGCATATGTCTACGTCCTTTCATTCCTGCTATCATAACAGAGGTTCTTCCATACTTTCCCCTACTATTGATGTCAAAGATGTCCTTTGCAAGGACATACTCCATCATCACTAGATCTCCTTCAAGACAGGTCATATGGAGGAAGTTGTTACCATCGTCATCCAGTATGGACAAATCCTTTCCTGCACGTACAAGGAAATTAAGTGCTAATCTTCGCTCTGCTGTCCTGTTCATCCTGATCACATATGTTTGGCAGAGATCCCTCGACTATTAACGTCCACAGACCCGCAGAGAAGATATTTCACACTGATCAGTTACCCGTTCTATGTGAAGTTGAAGAATCTGCAAACCCAAAGAATAACAACTGACACTGGTCATATTTCATAAACATATATGGTATTGTGGTGGAACTTCAGAGATCGTTTTCGAGCATGGGAGGAGTGGGTGGAGCATGTGACCTTAATGTCTGTCTATGCATAGATTATTGATGAGATATTAACTCTTTTTGACAATTACCATATTCGACGTAATAAGCGCCCAGGGCGCTCTCAAAATTAGAAATAGGGAGCTCTTCTTAGAATATTATTTTGGTGAAAAAAAACAGAGTTACAGGATAAATGTCATGGTTTATGCTGACAGCCTGAAATGTTTATATACAACAGATATATTTTTCCAGAATTTAATTGCCCATAATTAAAGGTGCATATAACACACGAGTGCCTATTATATGCGAATAAATAAGTCTTGTGTACATTGATCAATCGGAAGGGGTGCTAATTGGGATTGTTCACTAGCTAATATAGCTAATGGGCGCTTATTAGAGCGGGTCGCTTATTACGTCGAATACGATATTTAAGAGAGAGAGAGAGAGAGAGAGAGAGAGAGAGAGACTCTGTTGTATTGACCATAAAATTGTTCTATAACCTTAAACTGTTAGTTTTGACTGTACAAGACTAGAGTCCTTATCAAAAGTGACACCTTGTCCTTGTCGACTATTGATACCCACACATTGGACAGAAGGTCAACTTTCCCTGGACCAGTGAAATGACGATGGACTAACAACCACTTGAAAGTAGCATCTCTGATTCGGTAAGCTGATGTCCAAGGGCCACCTTAGTCTGTACCAGTACCTCTACTTAATGCAAAACACACACAATAAAACACTACATGCCCATTACCAGGAAGGGGCCAACAACCAGCAAAAAGAAGGCAGCATCGGCAATTAATTTCCAACTAAAGAGGCAACACACACAAGTTTATTACTCAATAAAACCACCATTGGTACATACGTACTGAGCTACGGTCTTCAAGCTGGTACAATAACCGGGATGGAGAGTGTGTATGGCTCCCTGTGGATAAGGCCAAACTATCACAGCGTGACGTCGATTTGGTTTTATGGGTGTATATATTCATTTATCTGGATAGTGCTATCGATGCGATATATCAATCCATTAAACTCACGATCCGATAAATATGCAAATGAGATCACCTAGCAGGAACTGGTTACAAGCCCCATATATCGATGCATTGTCTGCTTGAGCACTAAATTACTGACTGGCATTCCCAAGGAGGTTTAGAAAGGAGGTTCCCGACGAATGGGTGTTTCTGCAGATAAACATGGCTTCAAATGATTTGGCATTATATATTAAACATTGTATTCATACGCAACTAAAGTTACTTCAATGACTGAAAATAAGTCTTTAACATTGATCATTTTGAGAATGACATTATATGATTGGTTATTATTTTCATCCGGTGTTTCCGTATTTAATGTCATATGATAGGAATAACAAATATGTTTTATATTTACAATTTTATTACAACACGATGAAAATAATCGCTTATCATTAATGTCATTCTTAAACAATCAATGTTTAAGGCTTATTTGCACTGAAATTAACTCTCTCTGTGTATGTTTCTAAATGGGGATGTTTTATTATGTTTCAGCGTGACTCACTCACTCACATGCCTTGGTGTTTTAACAATGTTTGTGTTTTGATGAAGCCATAAGATGTGTCAATAATATGTGTAATAAAAATACTTATGTATGGTGTGAAAAGCAGTAAAGTCGGACAGAGCTAAGCTGCTGGCGTTTGTTTAAGGATTGTAAATAGTCCTACCGAGCACCTAGTATCATCACTGATTTTTAGTTATCCATTCATATGAATTTCGCCGCTGTTTTGCCTTTCACGCTAAAAGGAATCGGTTTCGGCGGATAATCGAGACTGGTTGTTCTCTGGCGTTGATGTTCTATTATCCTGTGCTGACTACCAAAGTGAAAATGATTATCGCGAAAAATCTATATTTTACCCTGAATGTCGCTTTGGCGAGAATAACGCCTTTTGTAACAACACACTGCAACCACTTTATCACATTCTTCGTCCCCAGGGGTATAGTTTCTGTTGGAAAATACCATTTCTTTGAGAACATACTTGGAAATATACTACAGGTTTTACCACATATGTCTGTTTCAAACACCATAGGCTCTCCACTTGCCCTTCAACCTACCCTCTACCCCCCCCCCCCCCCCCCCCCAACACACACACACACACAACCACACAACCACACAACCACACACACACACACACCAAACAAAAAACAACAACAAAAACCTTGAGTGTTGTCGGTGCCTAGGTCCTCTAAAAGATATAGATACCGAGTGTAAGTACAACAAAATAATACAAACATTGTCAGTGTCGACTTAGAATTCTGAATGTTGATATATAAAAAGAGTGTTCTATACAGTCATTACTGTGAGGAAAGGTTGCCGTGACCTGCTCACAATAATATATCATTCAAGTTGACCTATTTTCCAGCCTTAATATGCTTATGAAAAAGGCAACAATTAAGATGGGTTTTCTCACGCTGGGTTGAAAAACAAAAATAAGACAAGAGGACAAGTCATGAGTTCTTTTGTGTCTAAATAGTCTATTCCAATATTACAAATATTAAGTCTTACCGCATATCAACGTCTCAGCCGGGTATGTGCAGCGTCAGCTGTGCTTACATTTTAAGACCTGCGCTTATTCACTACTGGACATGCCCTATGTGTTGTATATCTTTCTTTATTATCATTCAAAAGGGATATAACCCCAGTCACCAGTTTCCAAGCAATCACGGTCGCCAGTAAATAATGAAGCCTGACACAACCCCTCCTATATATCTTGGCAACGACGAGCATAGGTTACTTGGGATCCGTACTACTACGTGATCTCCCTGGGATATGAAATGTAGACACGGCGTGACTATTTTAAGATTAAAACCTTTTAGTGATTAGATATTATATCACGTCTTGTCAGTGGTGCTCATATTTGTCTAAAGACCCCTGAAAGGAATTAAAAACACATACACTGCATTCGTAATAGCGCAGGATGAGAAAGGAAAAAATATTTTTTTCCCCATAAGTTGATTGTAGTTTAAACAACATTAAAATAAATCTCTGTTTATCACTGTACCACCAACACTCTATGGTCGCAGAGCTCGCGTGTTTGAACGGCGCGAGTGTTCCAGTCTGGTGCATACACAAAAAGGTTATCAATTGATTGTGTTTAGGGGCGATTAGTCTTCCTGGTAGCTAACACGGCTGTGTGGGTTGGAGATCTTCCTAGTGGCCACCACGGCTGTATGGGTTGGAGATCGTCCTGGTGGCAAACACGGCTGTATGGGTTGGAGATCGTCCTAGTGGCAAACACGGCTGTATGGGTTGGAGATCGTCCTGGTGGCAAACACGGATGTATGGGTTGGAGATCGTCCTGGTGGCAAACACGGCTGTATGGGTTGGATATGGTCCTGGTGGCAAACACGAATGTATGGGTTGGAGATCGTCCTGGTGGGGAACACGACTGTATGGGTTGGAGATCGTCCTGGTGGGGAACACGGCTGTATGGGTTGGAGATCGTCCTGGTGGGGAACACGGCTGTATGGGTTGGAGATCGTCCTGGTGGGGAACACGACTGTATGGGTTGGAGACCGTCCTGGTGGCAAACACGGCTGTATAGGTTGGAGATCGTCCTGGCGGCCAACACGACTGTATGGGTTTGAGATCGTCCTGGTGGCAAACACGGATGTATGGGTTGGAGATCGTCCTGGTGGCAAACACGGCTGTATGGGTTGGAGATCGTCCTGGTGGCAAACACGGCTGTATGGGTTGGAGATCGTCCTAGTGGCAAACACAGCTGTATGGGTTGGAGCTCGCCCTGGTGGCAAACACGGCTGTATGGGTTGGAGCTCGTCCTGGTGGTGAACACGACTGTATGGGTTGGAGATCGTCCTGGTGGCAAACACGGTTGTATGGGTTGGAGATCGTCCTGGTGGCAAACACGGCTGTATGGGTTGGAGATCGTCCTAGTGGCAAATACGGCTGTATGGGTTGGAGACCGTCCTGGTGGCAAACATGGCTGTATGGGTTGGAGATCGTCCTGGTGGCAAACACGGCTGTATGGGTTGGAGATCGTCCTGGTGGCAAACACGGCTGTATGTGTTGGAGACCGTCCTGGTGGCAAACACGACTGTATGGGTTGGAGATCGTCCTGGTGGCAAACACGACTGTATGGGTTGGAGATCGTCCTGGTGGCAAACACGGATGTATGGGTTGGAGATCGTCCTGGTGGTGAACACGGCTGTATGGGTTGGAGATCGTCCTGGTTGGGAACACGGCTGTATGGGTTGGAGATCGCCCTGGTGGGGAACACGGCTGTATGTGTTGGAGGCCGTCCTGGTGGTGAACACGAATGTATGCATTGGGTTGGAGATCGCCCTGGTGGGGAACACGGCTGTATGTGTTGGAGATCGTCCTGGTGGTGAACACGAATGTATGCATTGGGTTGGAGACCGTCCTGGTGGGGAACACGACTGTATGGGTTGGAGATCGTCCTGGTGGTGAACACGAATGTATGGGTTTGAGATCGTCCTGGTGGTGAACACGGCTGTATGGGTTGGAGATCGTCCTGGTGAAGAACACGACTGTATGGGTTGGAGATCGTCCTGGTGGTGAACAAGGCTGTATGGGTTGGAGATCGTCCTGGTGGGGAACACGGCTGTATGGGTTGGAGATCGTCCTGGTGGGGAACACGACTGTATGGGTTGGAGACCGTCCTGGTGGCAAACACGGCTGTATAGGTTGGAGATCGTCCTGGCGGCCAACACGACTGTATGGGTTGGAGATCGTCCTGGTGGCAAACACGACTGTATGGGTTGGAGCTCGTCCTGGTGGTGAACACGACTGTATGGGTTGGAGATCGTCCTGGTGGCAAACACGGTTGTATGGGTTCGAGATCGTCCTGGTGGCAAACACGGCTGTATGGGTTGGAGACCGTCCTGGTGGCAAACATGGCTGTATGGGTTGGAGATCGTCCTGGTGGCAAACACGGCTGTATGGGTTGGAGATCGTCCTGGTGGCAAACACGGCTGTATGGGTTGGAGACCGTCCTGGTGGCAAACACGACTGTATGGGTTGGAGATCGTCCTGGTGGCAAACACGGATGTATGGGTTGGAGATCGTCCTGGTGGCAAACACGGATGTATGGGTTGGAGATCGTCCTGGTGGTGAACACGGCTGTATGGGTTGGAGATCGCCCTGGTGGGGAACACGAATGTATGGGTTTGAGATCGTCCTAGTGGCAAACACGGCTGGGTGGGTTGGAAACCGTCCTGGTGGGGAACACGGATGTATGGGTTGGAGATCGTCCTGGTGGGGAACACGGCTGTATGGGTTGGAGATCGTCCTGGTGGCAAACACGAATGTATAGGTTGGAGATCGTCCTGGCGGCCAACACGACTGTATGGGTTTGAGATCGTCCTGGTGGCAAACACGGATGTATGGGTTGGAGATCGTCCTGGTGGTGAACACGGCTGTATGGGTTGGAGATCGTCCTGGTTGGGAACACGGCTGTATGGGTTGGAGACCGTCCTGGTGGCAAACACGACTGTATGGGTTGGAGATCGTCCTGGTGGCAAACACGGATGTATGGGTTGGAGATCGTCCTGGTGGCAAACACGGATGTATGGGTTGGAGATCGTCCTGGTTGGGAACACGGCTGTATGGGTTGGAGATCGCCCTGGTGGCAAACACGGCTGTATGGGTTGGAGATCGTCCTGGTGGCAAACACGGCTGTATGGGTTGGAGATCGTCCTGGTGGCAAACACGGATGTATGGGTTGGAGATCGTCTTGGTGGTGAACACGGCTGTATGGGTTGGAGATCGCCCTGGTGGGGAACACGAATGTATGGGTTTGAGATCGTCCTAGTGGCAAACACGGCTGGGTGGGTTGGAAACCGTCCTGGAGGGGAACACGGATGTATGGGTTGGAGATCGTCCTGGTGGGGAACACGGCTGTATGGGTTGGAGATCGTCCTGGTGGCAAACACGAATGTATAGGTTGGAGATCGTCCTGGCGGCCAACACGACTGTATGGGTTTGAGATCGTCCTGGTGGCAAACACGGATGTATGGGTTGGATATGGTCCTGGTGGCAAACACGGCTGTATGGGTTGGAGATCGTCCTGGTGGCAAACACGGATGTATGAGTTGGAGATCGTCCTGGTGGCAAACACGGCTGTATGGGTTGGAGCTCGTCCTGGTGGCAAACACGGCTGTATGGGTTGGAGCTCGTCCTGGTGGCAAACACGGCTGTATGGGTTGGAACTCCTCCTGGTGGTAAACACGACTGTATGGGTTGGAGATCGTCCTGGTGGCAAACACGGTTGTATGGGTTGGAGATCGTCCTGGTGGCAAACACGGCTGTATGGGTTGGAGATCGTCCTGGTGGCAAACACGGCTGTATGGGTTGGAGACCGTCCTGGTGGCAAACATGGCTGTATGGGTTGGAGATCGTCCTGGTGGCAAACACGGCTGTATGGGTTGGAAATCGTCCTGGTGGCAAACACGAATGTATGGGTTTGAGATCGTCCTAGTGGCAAACACGGCTGGGTGGGTTGGAAACCGTCCTGGTGGGGAACACGGATGTATGGGTTGGAGATCGTCCTGGTGGGGAACACGGCTGTATGGGTTGGAGATCGTCCTGGTGGTGAATACGGCTGTATGGGTTGGAGATCGTCCTGGTGGGGAACACGACTGTATGGGTTGGAGATCGTCCTGGTGGTGAACACGGCTGTATGGGTTGGAGATCGTCCTGGTGGGGAACACGGCTGTATGGGTTGGAGATCGTCCTGGTGGGGAACACGACTGTATGGGTTGGAGAAAGTCCTGGTGGCAAACACGACTGTATGGGTTTGAGATCGTCCTGGTGGCAAACACGGCTGTATGGGTTTGAGATCGTCCTGGTGGCAAACACGGCTTTATGGGTTGGAGATCGTCCTGGTGGCAAACACGGATGTATGGGTTGGAGATCGTCCTGGTGGCAAACACGGCTGTATCGGTTGGAGCTCGTCCTGGTGGTGAACACGACTGTATGGGTTGGAGATCGTCCTGGTGGCAAACACGGTTGTATGGGTTGGAGATCGTCCTGGTGGCAAACACGGCTGTGTGGGTAAGAGATCGTCCTGGTGGCAAACACGGCTGTATGGGTTGGAGACCGTCCTGGTGGAAAATATGGCTGTATGGGTTGGAGATCGTCCTGGTGGCAAACACGGCTGTATGGGTTGGAGATCGTCCTGGTGGCAAACACGGCTGTATGGGTTGGAGACCGTCCTGGTGGCAAACACGACTGTATGGGTTGGAGAACGTCCTGGTGGCAAACACGGATGTATGGGTTGGAGATCGTCCTGGTGGCAAACACGGATGTATGGGTTGGAGATCGTCCTGGTTGGGAACACGGCTGTATGGGTTGGAGATCGCCCTGGTGGGGAACACGGCTGTATGTGTTGGAGGCCGTCCTGGTGGTGAACACGAATGTATGGGTTGGAGACCGTCCTGGTGGCAAACACGAATGTATGGGTTAGACATCGTCCTGGTGGCAAACACGAATGTATGGGTTTGAGATCGTCCTAGTGGCAAACACGGCTGGGTGGGTTGGAGATCGTCCTGGTGGGGAACACGGATGTATGGGTTGGAGATCGTCCTGGTGGGGAACACGGCTGTATGGGTTGGAGATCGTCCTGGTGGCAAACACGAATGTATAGGTTGGAGATCGTCCTGGCGGCCAACACGACTGTATGGGTTTGAGATCGTCCTGGTGGCAAACACGGATGTATGGGTTGGAGATCGTCCTGG